ACTCCAAAGTCCGCATGCTTCTAACTAGCCCCGGGCGCCTCCAAGCAGCAGTCCACGTGTTGGTACAAAGGACTGTTTCCCTTGTCATGCACTTATTACTGTACAGAAAGTTCACTGCTGTGAAGTTAAATTGGCTTTGAGTTCTGTAGTTAACAAGTGGCTTCTATCAACAAGAATTTAATTGTGCAAAACCAGGCCAGGTGGTGGAGCTAGCGCTGGCAGAGCCAGGCTGAGGGAGGAGGTCGGGCCTTCACATTCGGGGATGTGCGCGCAGCAGTTAGACGCTTCAAACCACCCAGGTAGATGCCGTTTCTTCAGCTCTTCAGTTAGGAAAGGTCATCCCGCCCATCCTGGAGACAGAAACATCAGAAGCGCTCTCTCTCTCTCTCTCTCTCTCTCCCTCTCCCTCTCCCTCTCCCTCTCTCTCTCACACACACACAGAGCATGTGCGCCAGGTAACAGTTTCATTACACGGGCAGCTTCCAGCTTGTCACCATTCCCTGAGCCCTTCGAACTAGCAGCAACCTGCCCTGCCTCCTGTCTGTGTCCAACAGGCCTTCCCCCCGGGGCCACTCTTGGCCCCTGTGTCATTTCACTTCTTTTGCATGGGAATGGGTGTAGCAGCCGCCAGGGTACAGGGCTAACGTCTGTGCAGGGTGCACCCCCTCCTCTGGAATGGATACCACAGAACAAGCCATCCCCCAGTGCCACCTCCTTCATCCCCAGGGCCCCTTTCTCCCTTCATCCTTCCTGTCTCCATCTCTCCTGTGTGTGGCTTTGGAAACCTGGGGCAGAGGAGAGGGTTGCAGCAAGAAACCATGACCCTATAAGCCAGCGGTTCTCAACCTGTGGGTCGCGACCCCTTTGGCGGTCGAACGACCCTTTCACAGGGGTCTCCTAAGACCATCCTGCATATCAGATATTTACATTACGATTCATAACAGCAGCAACATTACAGTTATGAAGTAGCAACGAAACTAATTTTATGGTTGGGTCACATGAGGAATTGTATTTAAAGGGCCAGAAGGTTGAGAACCACTGCTAAAAGCCTACTTTGGGCTCTGCCTTAGTTTCCCTCCTGGAAAATGAATATTATCAATGTCTGCCAACCTCCTGACTCACAGCAGCACCTGTGGTTCTAATACTTGCTTGTGGTTCTGTGTGCCCCATTTCGGGGTTGTCAGGACAGCCTCATGAAGCACAGTGTTTCCGAAGCAGACTTTGCAGACGGGGAAACTGATGCCCAGAGAGAGGGAAATGACTCATTCCAGGCCGCACAGCGCTTAGTGGCAGAGCCAGGACCAGAAACAGTCTCCCGGCCCTCCCTGGCCAGGACACGAGTTCTTCGTGACGACGATGGCATGGTACACAGAGGATATGAGCCCTGAGTGTGACTGCTGCCCACAGATCCTGAAGAACATCAAAGAAAACGAGAGCAGGAAAACCTTAACAAGTTGGTTACCTTTATGCTTAATTACTATGCATCTAATTACACTGCTGGGGCTCATTAATGTGTCAAACTTTGTTTTATGTTTTTATATGATAAAAAGGCAGCACCCCACAGAGTGTGGGCCCATGGGCTGTGTATAATGAGGAGAACTTCTGACGAAGGACTTGCTGCTGACTTGCTGGAAGTGTGTGCAGTACTTCCCGGGCACCCAGGTGACCCTCACAACCTGCCCCACAGGCAGCCTTGTTCCCATCTCACAGATGAGAAAACAGAGGCCCAGAGAAGTGAACTGACTGGCCTGTGGCAAGGTTGGGTTCAAATCAAGGGCTGGCCCCTTCCAAAGCTGCGTTTTCCTCCCCGACTGCGTGACACTGGCTCCTCACAAAGACACAAAGGGCTTATTGATGAGGTGACTCAGTTTCCTCTTTGTCAAAGCCAGCCTCTGGGTTTCCGTGTTCCCTGATGAGAGAGGCCCTCTACCCAGGGGCCAACCTGCACGGTACAGAGGAGGACCCGTAGAGAGTGTTAGAGCTTTTTCTTCGGAGGAGCAAGTCCCCCGACTCGGGAGGAAGAGCCGTCAGCCCCTGGAGGCCCCGCGTCCCCAGGGAACGGCTGCTCTGGAAGCCGGAGGGCGGTGGGGCAGGGCCTGCTCCGGAGCAGCACAGCGCTGCCCATGCTGCCGCCTCTCCTCCAGCTGGTTGTGCAATCTGGCTATGAATAGGTCTAGGTGTGTGGTGTGGTGCCAGAGAGGCCAGACTTGTTTCCTTTGGGTGACAACTCCCCTCTGGAATTCTGGGAGGTGAGGGAGTGCAGCTGTCAGGTCAGGCTGCTGACCCCGAGGCTGGGCGGTCCAAGCTGGTGGCGTGAGGGGAGGAGCCCGTGGCCAGACTGGATGGGCAGGTTGGCAGCATGACTCTTCAGCGTGCTGGCACCATGCTGGGTGTTCAGCTTGGAGTGCCCAGAGCTCCTTCTCCCTCCCTGGCAGTCACCAGCCACTCTGAGTTCACCTCCTGAACCCCTCTCCCACCCCCCACCACTCACTCTCACCAGGCCTTCGTTACCGTAAAACAAAGGAGCTGGGGGGTGGGGAGGGGGGAACAATTGGCAATTTCATTTTTAAAACATTAAAAATATGAGGCTGGGGAAATCAGGGATTCTCATATTTTGTGGGTGTTGTGAGTTGGTACTTTGAAGGGCAATTTGCTCAATCTCTTATCAGCCCTGGAACTGTATATATAGTCCCTGACCCAGCTATTCCACATTTGGCCATTAGTCCTACAAAGATTCTGGCACATGTATGTAATATATGTACAAGGTTATTCACTGCAGTGTTGCTGATAATAACAACTGTTTAGAAACAATTCAATACCCAGTGTCTATCCACAGGACACGACTGGTTAAATGAGTTATAATACGTGAGTACAGTGGTGTACTATGCAACTATAAAAATATCTCCTCTACTGTGAGGAAATCATTGGCAAAACAAGATGCCCAACAGGGTGCATAATGCATTGTTTTATGTCATAAGAGGGGGAAAATTAGAATCTGTGTTTTGATTGATTGTAGGTGCATAGGAAATTCTGGAAGGATACACAAGAAACTGGAGTGGGAGGAAGTAGGGAGAGAACTAGACAGGGATGGGAAGAAAACATTCCCTGTGTGTACATATATGCTTTCTGGCTTTTGAATCATGTGAAGTCATTACCTTTCAAAATACTTAAAAATACAGCGCAACAAAATGAAGAGAAGTCTAACCAAAACATCCCACAACCCAACTGCCAGAATACAATGGACACCTCCCACATGAGAACCCCCTCCTACTTAGGGAAGTTACCCAATGGTTTGGAAGACGGGCCCTCCCCCCTCCTGGAACAGGCCATGGTTGCTGACGCCGCCTGCCAGCTGGGGCTTGGGCATCGGTGGCTGGGGTGCTCTCTGCCTTTGAATGTGGAGGGAATGACTGAGGAGCAGTTACAGACCGTTCCCGGTGGACACGTTGAGGTCCCGAGTCCACTGTTAAAGGCAAAAGTGTCCAGCCCTCTTCCTCCAGCTCCAATGTCTCCGGTTCTCTGAGCCCAGCACCACTGCTTCTCTTTGATGGAGATGGGAGCTGCCCTCTTCACCTCACTTTAGATTCCCTGCTGGTTCCCACCACAGGCTGAGCTGAGGGGCAGCCGGGCACCACAGGCCTCCCCCCACAGCTACCCCGTAGCCATCTCCAGACCTTCCTATGTCCCAAGGGAGGGAAGAGTCTGGCAGACTGTAGCTATGAATTCTACCTTCCTCCACCTTGGACTGCTGTACTCCAGCTTGGTGTGGGTGACATGGCTGATACATGTCACATTTGCTGGCTTGAAGGTTTGCCTTCATTACTTGAACATCTGCAAAAACAAATCCCTAAAGTATTTTAGAGATTAGCCTAAATTCTTCCTCTTTTAAACACGAAGCTGACTCAGAGTCAGCAAGAATTAGTTCTTTATTCACCAAGGTGCAGCAGATAGACTATACCTGAGAGTACAAACTCACAGAAGGCAGGGCCCGGGTCCTAGTTCTCTTGGTGCCCGTCACAGGGTCTGGCCACTGTGACCCTTGGGATTGACTTAGTAATTGTTGTGAACTTTATTAATTAGTTGAATTTTTACTTGACTTGGGAGCACTCTACTGAGAATCTTGTGATAGCTAGTGTTGGATTTCCATCTTTAACCTCTTGGGAGACAGAATCAAAATTGGGAATCAGTCTCAAATGAAGTATGTTCTCCCCGTTGGCTTGGGTGTTAGAAGACGGTGAGGTTGTACCCTTACAGGTAATTAAAACAATAGTAAGAACCAACTTATGAAGGCAAACTTCAAAGTCATTTTTACCTACTTGACCTGAAATAAAAGTCCATCATGTGGTTTGAGCTTTTGAACCTAATCCTAGGGGGTTTCGGAAAGCTGAATCATTTTTATAACGTGTATTAAAATGAAAAAAACATAGCCCAGGCTACTAGGAATCGTTTTACAATAGGGTGGAGTTCCTCCTAATTTGACTGAGAGGCCCTACAACATACAAACATTGGAAATAGTTATGCTGTTCCCACAAGAAACTTGAAGGATTGTTTGCCTTTCGACATGCAGGAGGGGCACGCAGGGCCCATGACCAATGTCCGTCTGCTAGACTCACATGAGGACTCTCAATAGGGCCCAAACTCTGACAGGTCAAAACCTCCCATACTTAGTGAAGGCAGAGAATCTAAAACCCGCCTCCCTGCTTAACAGCTCCTCCAGGCAACATCGCTCAGCGCACATCCACAATGGCCACCGTCACCATGAACAGCGCCACAGATCTGCTTTTATTGAATTGTCTGGTTGTCGGTGGAGGTCAAAAGTGGGCCAGAGAAAAAGTCTGCTGGACTCACTGAGTGGGAGATCTCATGACAGAGGCATGTGGCTTTGTGCCTCTCCCAGCCTGTGAAGTCCCGCACAGGAGGACTGTGAGATGAAAACGCAGCTATTTCACTTCTGGAGTTAAAGAAAGGGGGAGGGAGAACAAAGACTTCTTGGAGTAAGATAAAGTGTCATTGATGCTTTATTTACATGCGTCACCATCTCTTTTACAAACTAGATTACGGTTTTAAGTGGAATACACAAGGCAATATGTACAAATACCAAGGAAAGTAAGGACTGTATCTCTATTTTATTTGGAAAGGGGCAGATTCCCAAATCAAACTGGCTTTGATTCTTGAAAAGTAAGATGGCAGAGTTAATTCATGGCAACATGTGGCTAGACAAAATCCTCAGTAAGATGCAATGATAGTGTTTGCTTTGGAAGAAAGGATGAGGTGCTTCAAACCAAAGTATTGACTGTGTGACTCAGGGTTTTGAATGTGGCCACATGCCATATTTAAGTCTAGTTGTATGGGGTATGAGCAAGAAATTGAAACAGATAAGACAGTTATACAGATACTGTATACAGATTTTTTTTTCCCATTCATGCAACTTTTTTTTTCTTAAAAAATGTTCAATATGTGAAGCCAAAAACACACAATACATTTTTAAAAATATTAACTAAATTCCTGGTCCTCCTTCACACCTGTTTACATTTCTTGTGTACATAATGTGCTAGGACAAGTATACCAGAGAAGGCTGATTGCCAGGCAATGAGATAATTTTAGAGAAATGACCAGACACACAATTTTTAAAAGCAGCCGCACATACACGGTATCTCTGGAGTGTGGCAGAGGCCTTGTCACCTATCATCCACCAAAGAAAAATACATACAAGTAAAATTAGACAAAAGTACTTCAGTCATTACAACTGCATAAAATGTTACCCACAAAAGATTTAGATCAAAAATTATTAATAGACTCTTCAACTCCCTGGGCATCTGCTCTCAGACCTCACTGGACAGACTGACCACACAGCCTTCACTTTGCCCTGCTGCCCTGACCGCCACAAGAGGCTGGCTTTTTCGTACCTCTTAGCCAGTGATTGCATTTCTATTAAAAAAATTTGCTTTTCTTAATAATAATAATAATAATGAAAAAAACCCTAATGCCTAATCACACCATGTTCCTCAAATACAGCAGGAAATGGGAAACCAGAGGTCAGAGCTGCCAGAGCTCTGTTTCTGCGTTGAGAGAGAAAGGGCAACCTTTTTATTTCCCCTCCCCAGCCCGTGGCGTCCGTGCTGGAAACAGAACTGGCTATGTGACCGCTTTTCTCTTGACAATCCTAAGAGATTCCAACGTCCCTTCTTCTTTAAGTGGGGAGGGGGGTTCATTAGGTAGTAGTGAAGTCTGTGCCTACCATCGGGGTCAGGTTTGGAAGCCCCCCGAAATGATACCCTGAGGCTGGGCCTATCTGTCCTGGGCAGTGAGCTCAGGGAGGGGAAGTGACACACATGTAATGTCAAAACTCAACACCAAACACACAAAGTTCTCCTTGTACCACAGGTGCCCGCACCACTCTCCCGCGGACAGGAAATGGGTGTTAGCAATCATCGCAGAGGATGCGCTAAAGGAAACATTCACCGTTGGCGGGGCACCCGGACCGGCAGTCAGACCCCACTCCAGGACAGTAAAAGCTTGTGAGAAAGCTCTCCTCCGACTTTGGTAAAAGGCTCTGGAGTCCTAGGAGAACAACAGAGCCACAGGACACGTCATGCTTGCAATATCAGTTATCTTCTCCTTTCCCATCAGAAAGGGGAAGGCCTCCTGGAGCAGCTGATCTGGAGGCCTCGGGTGGCCTCGGAGCGTTCTCATCGGGAGGCAACCATGGCAGCAGCCGGCCCTGGAGGCTACTCAGCGTTCCTCTGAGACGCTCCGATGTGAGGGACCCACGGCACTCAGAACCCCACATGGTGGCCAACAGGTGGTCCTTCCTGAAAGCAGGTGTCGATATAAGAGGCAGGGGCTTGTGTGGGACCTCTGCTCAGTCTGACCATGTCAGCACCCACTGGGCTAGGGAAAGCTGGCCTCTGGGCGGGTGGCCAGCTGTGTGTGGGCTGCTGTGCTCCTGGACGGGCCTAATTATTCCGTCCTGACCTTCTCCTAGGACTGATGCTGGCACTTGACTTTGCCCTGACAGCTCTCCACAACTCTCTACATGTAGATGCTGTTACTAAGGAAAAAAAAAAAAAAAAATTCCAAGCACCCCTTCCCCTCCATTTTCCTGCTCTGCTCTCATACTGCTCTGTCCCTCCCTCGTCTGTTCTAAATTATAATCTCATTCTAGGACACTCTGTAAGACATTCTGCCTGAAATCTAATAAAACTGGGGGAAGAGAGAATAAAGGAGATGTCCCACGTCTGTAAGGAATGCAACATTTAAAGTCAAAACACATTTGAGGGTTGCCTTTCTTTCTCCCAAAGTAGCTCCCAGGGTTTATAAAACTGCAAAGGCAAAGAGCTGTTTTGTTAGTTTGCTTGTTTCTTTGAACTCAGGAGAGATTCTCAGGGCTCTCCTGTTGGAAGCACTTTGGATTCTCCCTTGTATCCTACACCCCTCCATCCCTTTCCCCATCAGCAACTGCCGCTGTCTCTGAACTACACTCCACCCCAGGCAGCATTGCTGAGGGACCCAGAGAGGCAGCCCTCTCGCTGACACCGGACAGTTCTTGTGCACAGCAGACGACCAAAGAATCGAGGAAGCGGCTGGCATTATATAAAGGAATATAGTAAGCAAAAGTCTGTCTCTCTGACAAGCAGACCACGTGAATAGAACACATATTTAAAAAAATTATACATACTTTTAAAATGAAGATTATAAACTTGTAGCAGTTCAGAAAAAGCGATACGGCTACAGGTCTACTATAACCACAATTGCACAACAATTTACAGATTCAGTAAAAGGCAGGGTGAAATCAACAGGGCCATCGTTCAAACATGACAACCCAAGCGAGGCGGGAAAGACGCGTGACAATACCAAATGGAACTTCCATTGTGCTAGGAGCTGTGATCACCACCACCATCACCCCCACAGGAATTCTAAAGCGAAGGTGCACAAGGGGGCCCCTGGCAGCCGGTGGTGAGTGCAGGGGGTCGGGCAGCACGTCTGTGTTGGTGGAAGGGAGTCAGTGCCCACTGCACGGTGTAAGAGGCAGCGAGAACTCATGCAGGGAGGTCTGTGCTGAAATACTAGCCTGTATTCCTAACGTCCATGCAGAAGGTTCCATTTTTGTACTGTACATGATAAAATATATTTATACATTTATATGCCTAGTGCATTTTATGCAAAGAAAAGATCTTCATATATCACTTTGGAGAAGTATGCATGTGCTGTGCTAATCAGAGCGTCGTTACACCAGTTTCTTATGTACCAAAGGTGTTCCCCACTATTCTATCAAAGAAGGGTAAGTAGTATGATCACACGTTCCAGGTTAAACAGAAAGCACCTATACAGCACCGTAACTTTTAGGAAAAAAAAACCAAAACAAAATGAAATCCATAGAAGCAGGAAAGTGGAAAAAACAATAGTCAAAACTGCCCTACCTTGTACTTCCATCGTGTCACTGGTACAATTACAATCTATGATTATATATGAAAAAAATCAGTTTGTACGCTATTGCCTCTCACTCATACACGTCTAGTAGATCAGCTTATACACAACAAGGCTGGAGACTATGGAGGGTGTGTATGTACGTCTGCACTGACTTGGGTTTATACTTTTCACACATTTCTCTCTGTAGGCTTCATGCTCCCCTGCAAGTTCATTTCTTCTGCAAAGCAAAACAGAACTCCTTTTTTTTTTAATTTTTCTTTTCTCCTTAAAACTAAATCCTTTAGTGGCATTTGGCAATTAGTGGACAGCTGAGCTGATTTCTTTCTTGAAAAAAAACACCCTATTTTCTAACCAACACAGCATCACTGTTCACTGCATTCGCTCAGGATACTGACAGGGGACCACCAACCCCAATCTGGCACCTGCAGCCCAGGTGCTGGGGTTTCGTCCCCCAACTACCCTGACTCAGAACCGAAACCCACTGGGCCGGTGGCTGTGGTCCGTTCGTTTTGCCTATGCAGGGTTCAGTCCTGGATGGGTGCGCACAGCGAACAGTTGTGCCATTGTTCAGTTTTTAGAAAAGGATCCTTTTCTGCCAAACAAAAGAAGAAAGAATATCCCCCTCGAGTTTATGTAATTTGTTAGTTTATGGAGTTCCAGGGGCTCAACCACTCGTGGTGCCCAAAGCCAAAATGGTAACTGGTACATTTTCCTTCTGTTTTTAAATCTGCCGAGGGAAGAATGGTTAACATTTTAACAGAAAAATACCGCAAGGTAATGCATGTGAAAAACTCAGAAAGTCAAAGGAAAACAAACACACAACACTTAAAACATCCCATAAACCATCATGATATGAAACCACAGAATCGCCAACGGGGGCTCCCGGTGTGCTCTGACCGAGGTGGGCGGTGCTGGCGGGTGCTGTCCTGCGCGGGCGTGGGCGGGGGCGCGTCACCTCGTACAAGGAAGGTTTGCATACTTTATATAGAGAGTTCTGTTCCAGGGTAAGGGGCCGTTAACAGTCTCCGCTGGGTCAGGAAGATGGCGTGGGGCTCACAAAGGGGTTAAGCTGTAAACGGTGTCACTGTCCACTTGCTGAGCAGATTTGGCAAAGGGTTTTCTTTGTAGGTCTTGTGTCAGTTTGAGGGTCTAGAGGAGGAAGAAAGAAAACCAGAGACGATTAAAGGCGTCCCAATGGCAAGAGTGGGCAGGCACCTCGCGGCCACACGGCATCGGCCTCCCAGGTCCTCACCCACCTCCGAGCCCAGGGCACGCTCAGTCAAGCTGTTTTGGCTACACCAGCTTGAAGCATGGGGATGCCGACTTACCTGATTTCTCTGCTGGCCTACAAAACGTTCTCAAGTGGACAAAGCTCAAAGGAGATGGTGTCATTCACTTGGGAGGTTAACAAAGACGAGCAACTTAGGAGTGTTTTGGCGGCCCTTTGAAGATAGGGACGTCCAGGGTGCAGGTGGGATGTTGCTCTTGAGTTTGGACCAGGGATTTCCTGGGAGACAGGACTTTTATGCTAAGCCCAGGGCGGGGTCACCCTAAGCAGGCCAGCTATGCTTTTCTGGGTCTCTCCCACTGGCTCTGTGGACTTTGCTTCCCACCTTTCCATTAATACCCCCAAACCAGAGATGAAATGGTCATTTTCCACAAAGGCTTAAATAAATCTACACTGCTGGGTGGGGGTCATCTTGACTCCCCCACTAAAAAAGGAGTAAGTAATCTCTAGGTGGGCTGTCATAGGAATTTGATTTTTATATTAAAAATCTACTGAGGCTGCCAAGCCAGTCTTGCTCAGTGGTTGAGCATCGACCCATGAACTGAGAGGTCACCGGTTCGATTCCCAGTCAGGGCACATGCTGGGTTGAGGGCTCGATCCCTGGTGGAGGGATGTGCAAGGAGGCAGCCAATCGGTGATGTTTCTCTCATAGATGTTTCTATCTCTCTATCCTTCTCTCCCTTCCTCTCTCCCTCTAAAAAAAAAAACCCTCAATTAAAAAAACTACAGAGGGGGAAAAATTACATAACACACATATGACAAAAAACTACCTCTCATAAAACATCCCTTTAACAATTAACATTATTATTTTGTCTCTAAAAGTATTCAGTGGTAAGGCACAAAAGAGGTCCTCTCAGAGCATCTAATTTACACACGTCTTATCAGATTTCATGCAACCACTGAGCCTGGAAAAGTTAGAGGATATTTTTATAAAGTACAGTTGATCCCTGAACAATGTGGGATTTAGGGGTGCCAAGCTCCTAGTGCAGTCAAAAATCCGGTTAGGCCCCAGCTGGTTTTGCTCAGTGGACAGAGCGTCGGCTTGCGGACTGAAGAGTCCCAGGTTCGATTCTGGTCAAGGGCACATGCCTGGGTTTCGGGCTCGATTCCCAGTGGGAGGTGTGCAGGAGGCAGACAATCGTTGATTCTCTCTCATCATTGATGTTTCTCTCTCTCTCCCCCTCTCCCTTCCTCTCTTAAATCAAAAACATATGTATCTTTGGGAGACCTTTGTCTCCCAAAAATTACTAATAGCCAATAACATAAATAGTTGATTAACACATAACTTGTAAGTTATATGTATCATATGCTGCATTCTTGCAATAAAATCAGCTAGAGAAAAAAAGTTAAGAAAATCATAAGGAAGAGAAAATATGTATATATATATGTATTTTATGCATTCATGACATAACTTTAAAAAATTTATTTTTACATTTCTAAGCTATGTGGTTCATCTGCAAGTATTTTCAAATTGTAGCAAATCTCCAAACATTTTCCCCAATATATTTACTGAAAAAAATCCACGTATAATTGGATCTGTGCAGTTAAACCCGTGTTGTTCAAGGGTCAACTGTATACTCATAGAGATGTAGCCACAGGAACTGACATGACAGGTCTCAAGACATAAAACTGTTTATGGAGACAGTTGGCTGTCATGGTAGGAAAAAAATGGCTCCAGGCCAAAAGATGGAGAGAAAAGTGGTAGCAAAGCAACATGAACTCAAGATCTGCTCACCGGATAAGGTGAACAAGTAATGAAAAATGCATCAATAAGCCTTCTCACACACACGGACATCTCCCCTCCTCTTCAGAGATACCATCATGAGCTCCTGTGGAATTTTCACAAGTGCACTTGTGACTTCATTTCTTCTGTGACTGCACCGGTTGGCAGCCTTACCTTCCGCTACCGATGTGCAGAACGACCCCAGGGCTTGGTGTGTGTAATGTTACACACCCATGGCCGCAGTTCCCCTGGTCACAGCCCCAAAGACAAGAACTGAGGTTGTTTCACCGGCAGCAGAGGCAAAAGCAGGAAAAGAAGGCCTGTCTTCTCCCACCCCCAGCACTTTGTTGCCCTGGCCGATGGCCTTTCTGGAGCTGTTCCTTGCTTTGCTAGGGTATGAGACAATTTATCCCGGACTATAAAGTAATGGCCTGTTGATTTCAGAGGGGAAAGGCTAAACTAGACACCAGATCTCAGTGTCTGTGAGGAATTGAGCCTCCAAGAGCTAGTGCTATTTCAGCACCTCTACCATGGACCCCTGAGGCATGAACAAACGAGGGTGTGAATAGGGTTCTTTAGAAGGGGATTTGGTTTTTTCCTTCACAATAACACTTAATAAACCACAACCTAACATCACTATGCAATTAGTCATCAGGGGACTTTGGTCCCCAACTCTCTACCCTGAGCTACTGAAAGTGCCAAGGGAGAAGCTATGAAGTATTACCTAATTCCGACCCCTTCCCCCGGTTCCCTTGGTGTTAATTATCCAGCCGTGGACCTGGGATGGTGACATATTTCTTCCACACGTACACAGGCCAAGCATACAGCTTGCTCTGATGCTGGGGCTGGCTCAGCATAGGCAGGAAGGAGGCGGAGGGCACGATAGCCCCCAATAGGGCATCATTCTAGGCAGAACAGGCATCAGCCCTGAAACCTGGGCAGGAGGCCCACATGGGCACAACCAACAACAATCCTGAGGCCAAATGCCCATTCCTTCATCAAAAGGCCCAGACTCTTCAGGAAGCATCATTAAAAAGGAGATGCGTGGCCCTAACCGGTTTGGCTCAGTGGATAGAGCGTCGGCCTGCAGACTGAAAGACCCCAGGTTCGATTCCGGCCAAGGGCATGTACCTTGGTTGTGGGCACATCCCCAGTGGGAGGTGTGCAGGAGGCCGCTGATCGATGTTCCTCTCTCATCGATGTTTCTAACTCTCTATCCCTCTCCCTTCCTCTCTGTGAAAAGTCAATAAAATATATTAAAAAAAAAAAATAAAAAGGAGATGCATGGGTCTCTTTCCCTTCCTTCAGAATGGCCTGGGGGCCACCTGTGGCGCTAGGTACTGGAACTCCCCCAGTCTCACAGGTGCGCCTCCCGCCTGTGCTGAAACTACCTGTGCCTGGAGATTAAGCCAGAGAGGCCCAGGCCCAGGTGTAGAGGCAGCTCTCAAACAATTTTATACAAAAACTCCCACTCCACAGAACAGAGAGGCGACTTGTTTTCTCCGTGATGGAAGGCACACAGATCGTAAAATAATGTGAAAACATAAAGGAACCAGATAAGTACTGAACAGAAATACAAGATCCTTCCAAGAGGAGAACCGGAGTCGCCCTGCATTAGGAAGGCCTGATGACTGAAAGCAGTCACAAGGCGGGCCGCCTCACCTGGCTGAGATTTATGGCCACTCTTTGGTGAGGCGATGTTTGCACGTTTACCCGACTCCACCAAGGACTGAAGGAATGAGGGAGCACATTTAGGAGTGAGCTCAGCTACTGAGCTGGGAATTTAATGATTCTCAGGTTGGGTACAAGTCTCATGGATTTCAGTGAAGACCCCACCATTCTTACATCGTCTAAAGCAGCCGTGGGCAAACTACGGCCCGTTTGAAATGGATTAAACTAAAAAAAAAAAAAGACCGTACCCTTTTCTGTAATGATGTTTACTTTGAATTTATATTAGTTCACACAGACACTCCATCCATGCTTTTGCTCCGGCCCTCCGGTCCAGTTTAAGAGCCCACTGTGGCCCTCGAGTCAGAACGTTTGCCCACCCCTGGGCTAAAGAGCGATGCTGTAGTTAACTGTGAGGCTCATGTGCATGTGCTAATGCTCTGCTAAGTTTAAAAACACATCAGATTAAGCAAAACTTGGAAGGAAAAGAAAGCATACAGCTGAAGGGAATTACAGCTATCACTTTACAGTTACTAGGCAACAGGCCAACTAACAAGAAATATGAAAATGTGCTATCCCATCAGTGACTTGCATTAATAGGAGAAGATCCCCCCCTCCCCCTCCTTGCCCAATAAATAAGTTTGAAATTGGGCTGTTGATGCAAGGAAAATAAAATGGGGAGGCCGCAGGATGAGGCCCATGCTAAAATGACCTATGGACACTGTCATCGGGTCTCTGGTGAGAGTAAGTCCCTCTATAATCTTGGCATCTGTAGGGAAGACAAGTTTCTGCCTAATTAGCACCACGAAATCACGTGATGTTCCAAGAAAGGGCAACGCCTCCAAAAAAAACTCGACACAAAACATAACAACCCCATCAACTTTAATCTGGGAATAAAAAGATAAACGTTCCTACTGCTGTCTTCCCACAAAGGAACTCCCAGGCGGCAGATCTGGGGTTTTCAGTCGTGTTTTCATCTTCTTGGCAGAGAAGAAAGGAACAGGACCCCAATACCAAACATGTCACCGGAGGAAAAAGAGACATCCACAAACCCAGGAAGGTCATGGACTGCTCTCCTAGCTAAAACTAAAACATGTTGGAGGAAAGTCTGCCTGAGAAATAAAATCAAACATACGGATCATTTACGCCAAACCTGCAACCCCCGGGGCAAGCTGGGGACTATAACTATGAACATTCAGGATAGAAAAGAAAACGAATGGATGTTCACACAATCTGACAGCGAAGCCTCACACAGAGTTCGGAGAACAGGGCTGCATTTCAGAGTGTGGCTGTTTCTGCCCCTGAGAGCAAAGAGACGCCTGCCTGCCACCCCCTCTGCTCTGCCCCAGAGAGAGCCAAGGGACACCCAGTTAGTTCATAATGAGCCACTGCCATCTGCCAGCATCCACCAAGGGTTTTGTAGCTGGTGTCACCCTAGAAAAAGATGGCATTTTTTTTTTGGGGGGGGGG